TAAAGAATTTGCCACTGATGATTCAAACGCGAGTTTTGGGCAGTGTACAGTAGGGCTTGTTGTTTGTCATTTCTCCAATCACAAATGCAGACATGGTTTTATGTTTACGCGGCGCAATGCAACGTAACGCGTAAAAAGACAGTATAAGTCATTATAATCCATAATTATGTCCCCACTGGATGCAACAAATACCTCTTTTATAATGGGTTTTCATGTTTTTGAATCGTCGCTCCGGCCGGACAGGGCATCATCACAATATGGTAAGGGGCGTAACATTTCCGTCACATGCTTGAGGTATTCGGCCAATCATAACACACTGGATAGTTGGCCAATCACAGCACACCTCGCTTTTCAGACCGATGAGCTTTGTAAAAATCGACGCGTTTCAGAAAGGCAGGGCATAGAGGAGAAACAATAATGTACAGTATGTGGAAAATAATGTATTTTTTTAACCTTAAACTGCATAAACACATTTCATTACACCAAATACACTAAATAATGTTCTTTTTAGCAACATCATATGACCCCTTTAAGATAAAAAGTAATGTTACAAGCCTGTCTTTAGAATGACTTGAGGGAAAAGTTCAGATGATAAGTATTTGACAGCACTGTAAGAGATTTATCATATTTTCTACCTGAGATTGTGAGGATAAGGCATTCCATGTGTGATAATAGTGCTTTCCAAAGCCACAACTGGCCTATGATCTGCTAAAGCCTCTTTCACATCTGGATGGATGATAAACAGACTGTCTGTAGGAGAAATATGGAATGGTTGACCCAAACAACACTGTACCAAATTTGGTGACCCAAGACATGCTCGCCAAGTTTGAATTGGTTCTCACGTGTCTGAAGACTGACAAATGACATAGGAGAAGCAAATAAAATGTTTGCTCTGTTCCTAATATAGTGCTATATTATTGCTTCAGAAAACTTGGAATATTGCACGAGTCACATAGATTGCTTTTATGGTGCTTTTTGGTCATTTTGGAGCCTTACATCCAAGGTCCCCGTTTACTTAATGGAAAGTAAAGGCTTGGACATTTTGCTAAATATTTTCTTCTGTGTTCCACAGAAGATAAGAAAACAGGTTTGGAACAACACTGAGACTAAATAATTTTTGGATTAAATTAGTTAATTAGTCTGAAAGAGGCATTGCATAGTAACATGAAATCGGGACACGGTTGCTCTGAATGCAAATACCTGAATGTAGAGCTGTGGTTTGTGCTACTTTACCTTTTTTGCAAATATCTGCAGGATGAAGATGTAATGCAACGTCTAAGAAACGCAGACAACCTCCACATCTTCAGAACTGGATCTTCAGGTCAGCAAAACTCATTAGAAAACAACGTCAAAAATAATCAAACCACCGTGGGCTGGAGAGTTTCTACAAACTTCAAAGGGAACAGTTTGTCGTGCTCTAGTTATTCGAGACAAGTGACGTGCTGATATAAGCAATTGTCACAATCCTGCACGTTTCAAAAGATGAAACGCAGGATCAACTAAACATAAAACCAACATACGGCTCCAGTAAGTAAACAATTCAGGACTTTAGTCGTTCAATGAAAACTGAACTCAGAAAGTTGTCTGCGTTCGCTCATTAAAATGCTTCTCACGCGCTACTCACTTTTGACTTCAGTCACGACTCCGCTTAAACAAATCTTCTTTAAAAAAACCCCCTCTTTATTCTGGATATTAAAGGGGTCATATGATGCGGTTTCAGTTTTTCCTTTCTCTTTGGAGCGTTACAAGCTCTTGGTGCATAAAGAAGATCTGTAAAGTTGCAAAGACTAAAGTCTCAAATCCAAAGAGATATTCTTTATGAAAGTAAAAAATCAACCACACCTAAAACGGCTCGTTCTAACACGCCCCCACATATCTACGTCAGGATGTGGGAAGTTTTGCATAACGCCGCCCAAATGTTCACGCAAAGAAAGAAGGCTAACTTTTATTCTCGCTGTAGTATTGTTCTTGCCGCCGCCGCCGCCGCCATGTCGTGAAGGCGCTGTGTTTTGTTGTGAAAGCAAAACTAGTTTGTTTGGCCATCCAAAAGAGGACAATATCTGCTTCGTCATGCCTGGAGCTGATCCGTGCTGGTCGCTGAGGAAATACATCAACTTCGCGCTGCGGATCGCCGGATCGCCGGCCTATGCTCACTCTAGCCCGCCGTGTGTTTCGTTGTGAAAGCGAAACTACTTTGTTTGG